TTTGTTATAGTAGGCAGAAAGTATATAATTCAAAAGTGTTTCAAAGGTATAATATCATGTATACATATAATATATATCATCATCATCATCTGAGGACTCTTTGTTCGTATTATTTTTCTTAATAGACGGAATTTAATGCACTGATTTGCTCTACTCGTTATGACCTATACACTTACATACCCTTGTACAATAATACATTATCTTCTTTTCTTTGTATGTGTTTATTGGCTCGATTGCTTGTACTTGATAATTTGCGAGAGACTAGCTCATCGATAGACCTCTGGTTTCTTTTTTTCTTTTTTTCTCTTATAACCTCCCACTCTTTATTATCAAAGATAAATATATGTATATATTTCTTATACGTTTTGGTAGTTTTTGGGGCGTGCGCGCGTATGTAATCATCGTTACCTCAGACAATGTTCCAAAATAATCTCACCATCATGTATGTGTATAGATACCACTAAAATATGATCTTCCTCCGAATTCCCTTTGTTTTTTTCTTTAAATTCAAGCTTTTTCCCCCATAGGTACGCTATAAATGCGTATACAACACGAGGCGATGAAATATATAATTACATAATTGTAAAAATTACACGCGTGCGCGCACCCCGCGTACAACCACTTATTCCTCAGGGTGTAAGGTACCTATATAATTATACTTACATAATAATGTATTTTTCTACAATATAACTATATATATATATATATTGGGCACAAAACGATTAGTCAATAACTTTTGAGTGAACTGCACTTGATAAAAAAATTAGAACAGGCTGAATTTTTTTATAGTCCAAACGAAGAATGAACTACATTAAAAATATTTGCTTTGTATATGCATAACTTCAGAAGACCTTTAANTTTTCGTATGATTGTTCTTATTTGGTCGATTAAACAAAGAATTTGGAGCTTTTTTCTTTATTTTTAGGGAGCTAAAAATAATAATCTCGAAGGCGCGTTCATCCAGACCCGAATCGTGTAGACGTAAGCTCCAAAACCGTACATTATACGACACAATCTCCCTTCCTCTTTACATAATATATTACATGCAGAGAAAATATCGCTCAGCTCCCTAATAATATATAAATACACACGTATGTGTGCGTGGATTATACACGCAATATACATACACAACGAACACTCATCAATCGACATCGCTCCGTTGTTTTTTTTGTTTTTTTTTTCCATCCCTATTTTACAAACTCCGTAAAAACCACATTATGATCCAGCACACTGTACGCACGCACACACAGTCATCCAAAATCAGCCGTTTTAATTATAAATATATATATATATAATATGTAGAAGAGAAGAAGCTTTTATTTCGTCGCGTTGCTGCTGCCTTCTTCATCTAACGGTGACCCGCGACGCTTCACGTGACCCTCGCGATGAAAGTCGCGACGGCGAGCAAAAACAACGACTCGGCGACAACTACGGCAGCCCCCTTGGGCTTCTCCTCGAGCGACAGGGGACTGCTGTCGTCGCTCTGCATCCCGGGTGACGCCTCCGACTGTTTGGCCGGGATCGCGTTGTTCTCGTCGTCCTGCCCCATACGCTTCCCTGCACCATCCTCCTCCTCCTCCTCGTCCTCGTCCTCGTCGAGCTGTTGTTGTTGTAGCGTAGTCGCGAGCCGGTGGGTCGGGTGGGTCATGGTAATAACCGTGGTCGGGGCCTCGGTAATCGTTGGTAAGGGGGCAATGGTCGGAGCTAGGCTGTTGTTGCCCGTGTAATACACCAGACCGAAGATGGGCTTGACGTTAACGATCTTCTCCTCGCGGTGCTCCCCGTTGACCGATCGCGGCTTCGCCGAGGCGCTGTCCTCGTACCGGGAGAACAGCATGCCCGTGTAGGGCGTGTCCTCGACCACGTACTCGCCTTGCAGGGTCACGTTAACCGCGGTGCCCGCCTTCAGATTTATCTCCACGCTGAAAGTTCGTTCGTGTTTAAGTATAGTAATATGTATGTATATATTATCTCCTTTGCGTTAGATCATATATTATTATTATTATTATGTACGTTCAATAAAGTATGGGACTGACTTGTGTACTCCGGTGCGATTCTCCCGTATCTTGATGCCCCACTTCATGTCGAGGAGTTTGTGGTTGTTTCGCGCGGTTACGCTGGTATTGAGGCCCTGTAGCATGGCGTGGCCCTGGCCCAGGTAGATGACGTGGGTGTACGAGTAGGCGAGGGCCTCGGCCATCGTGGATGGCTCGGTGCCGGTGTTGCCGATCGTCACCCGGGCAAGATCGCGCATCTCGCGCTTGACCACGCGGCTCTTGGTGCGAACGAGCTCAAAGTCTCGCAGCTCATACGAAATCGGCTCGATTTCCACGAGCAGTTGGCCTTCGCTCGCCGAGCCTTCCTCACCACCCTGCAAAGTTACACGTGCAGTTTTACGTTAGGTTCAATCTATACCTGGTATATATACTCATCCTTATTACTATATTGTAATTGTTCATTTTACAAAGCGCACACCTGTATGGATATGTGAAAAGGAAAAAAAAAAGTTCCCACGAGTACTAGTTTGTAAAATTAAACGTTTATTACAGAACAACAACAAATGGGTGGTGCCTGCAGTATCATGAAACATAGGTAGATATACTTATGTATACCGCACAGATACGTATAATGTACCGCTACTACCCCGTAAGATCCCGGACGACGCAAATGAAGTAGCCCATTTGATGGCTCTGCATCAGCGAGCAGCTATTCACTCCCATCGGCCGTCGTGAAATCTGTTATTAACCTCCGCCCTCCTCCTCGTATCTGCTGCCACCCACGAATGGGGCATAGTGGAGAGCGGTATAATGGATGTATCGTGCTGCAGGTGTGCAGTTAGTTATACGTACCGCGTAATTGTGCGCGTATATATTATCCATACAGGTGCATGCATATAGAGGGGGGAACAAGAGCAGATGGATGTAAAAGCTATGTAGCTCACCTCTTTGGCGTACTGAATACTGCTGGGCATGTCCTGGGAATCCAGGGTGCCGATGTAATGGGTTTGGCTGGTGGATTGGGACGCCTCGTGCCGAGCCACGTACAACTTGTCGCTGGCCACGGCGCCGCTCGGTGGCGACGCGTACTTGCTCCACTTGTTCCAGCTGATGCGCGCCGCGCCCTCGACGTTCTCGAGCAGCTGGTAATGCTTGTACGAGCCCACGCTACCCAGATACGTCACCGTGCAATTCTTCTCCCCCATTTTCTGGCTGCCCGCCACCCACAGGTCGTTGTGCTTCGCCCGGCAGATGAATATCGGCCTACCCGTGTCCCTCGACGCACCATCTATTGGGTCATCCGGCGAAAGAAATGATAATTAATTGTTTGCCTGTTGATGAACCAAAAGAACGGGGGGGCGGGGGGTTATCGAGCGAGTGTATATTTTATTATGTTGCTTTGCCGAAAAGGACGGGCAAACACGCACGCACTGCAGCAGATCGACCTTCGCGGCCGATCGTTTGCCAATGCAGTTGTGTCCTACTTTGGCCTCCACCTATATGTACACGTTACACATATATATATATATATGCTATTATATTGTATAAATACTTATATTTTTATCATAATNAAGTCTATGCGTATTACGATATATATATACAGGCTCCTCCTGCCCGTGTGTTTGCGTTATCTCTGCGAATCATCCTATACCTGACCTCCATCGTGTACTTTTGTACATAGTACCTTCCCATTTTCTCACCAATAATTACGTACAGTAATTGTTCAATTGTTATCGAGGACACGACCTTTTGATTGCCGGTAGATTTGATGAAAAATGCCAGTTGTGCCTTATAATCAAACGATTTCAGTAGTTTACGACGATCATATATACGTATACAAGTGCGCTAAAGATTGATAAAAAAAAAAAAATCGAGCGCGAGGTAAAGTAGGTCTGATCGAAGCCGTGGAACCGGAGCGCGATGAAATTTTCAGAATACCCCTGCATGGTGCATTATGAAATTGTTGCACCAGTATATACACCTGCCCTTGAACTAAATGGAAAACAAAACAAAAAAAAGATCGGTATACAGGGATGTTTTATGTATTATATGATCGAACCTGTGACCTCGAATCCCCCGATGATGAGGTTCTTGGAGGCGCTGTACTGATAATCGGGTATCCACTTAAGCGTGCTCGAGGTGATGAACTGGTCATAGGGCTTTGAAAAGATTTGCACGCTCTCCTCGGCACTGGTCGCTACCGGCAGCAGCAGCGTTGTCGACAGAAGCAGTAGCACCGGACAAAACCGGCTCGTCCTCCTCATCCCCATGGCTTTTGAATCTGAAGCACAACATAACGTGGTTTTTCATCACAAGTACGAGGATTTCAGGGTGAAATTTGCCGGCTTATCGAGTGCCTATATGTATAATCCATACATGATGTACGCGCATAAGAGTAACATACACAGACATGAGTGTGTAATGATACAAGGGGGTTCTTTGTACATTATGTATATATACGCGTCGATCGGAGAGTCTGTGTTTTTTCACGGCTACGTATTTATAATATATGACCTCAAGTCTGTACGGAGGCGCGATAGTTATATACCTACAAAGTCTGATCCCCCCCCCCCTTGGCCTTCGGTATGTCTTTCTCTCACTTTCTGTATGGGTGCATTTATTCTGAAATGATTCCATTCATGCGACTCTTTATGTACGATTTATGGCTACGCTGCAGCCTGTACGTGTTAATTGCACGTATACAACTTTTGCTTCTCGCACTTTGTGATTTTAATCACCCGCAATTGAGACGTCGCTTGTATTTTTTTTTTTTTTTTTTTTTTTCAATTTTTTTTGTATACGTCACTTGAATTCTCAAGCTCTGTAGGTGTCGGAGTGTTCCTCCGAGATTCGGACGTTGCTTTAGTATCCGGTGATTTGATGCTTAGCACTTTTTTTTTTTTTTTTTTTTTTTTTTTTTTTTCTTTTGCCCCACAGTTAAATAATACGTACTATACTTTCTTAATTTTGACGAGACACGTGAGATGTTGATGCTCCGCGACAAAAGTGGATGGACTTTCCCGCGAATCATGTACAAGTATAGCCTACCAAAAAAGATTCGAGATTACAACAACAATCCAGCCTGCCGTAGCGGATATACACAATCGATTGCGCGTGATTGGAGCAAACGATCGGTATTGGAAGCTCATTGGTGTCGCGCGGTCGTCGAACTCGGACAAGAGCTTATATTCCCGCATCTCGCCAAATTCATCCGACTCGCTTGGTTTCGCTTATTTTCATCCGCACACCCCGTGTGTATCTTATACCCCCTTTTTTTCCAAAGTCTATGCGTATTACGAGCGCCGATCGCGCGTTATCTCTCCCTAGCGCTGATTGCCGTTCGCGACCGATCGTATCTTAAACGTGCGCCATACACGGGAGCGGCTACACCCTGTATATCTTGCGGTAACTGGATATATCTTTCTCTCTCTCTTTTGCTGCGTTTCCGCTCCGCCTCGGATAAGCACTCCCGCTGCACGGCAGCCTATTTTTTTTTTTTTTTTTTTTTTTCTTTCGCCGCTGCGACTTGGCACGATAGTATAAACAGAGGCGCGAGTGCACTTGCAAAAAAAAAAAAAAAATTAATGACTGTGTGCATGCACCATGGGCGCAAATAATAAAACTCTGCGGTGGGGCTACTGCAAAAATATATATATGTCGATGGGGTTTTCGCTAATGAATCGAGCACCGGACACGCCCGTACATATACCCCAAGTATAATGTGCGAATGCTAATTTTCCATCTGCCAGCTAGCTCTGGGGTACACGTCACGCGCCGGCAGGTTGACCATTGCTTTTTTACTCGTGCGTGTTTGTGGTCGAGTGTTAGGTTGTGGGCCTGTTTGTTCGCCAACAAGTCAATGGATATTTTTGCGATTTCTGAGTAGGTATATACGCAACAAACGTTTGGTCAACAGTCACGAACTACACGTATACTTATTCTTGGTGAATCGTAAGCTTTTCGGGATCAATCGAAAAAAAAATCCGTGAAATCGATAACCTGTCATCCCTGATTTATTTTTGGAGATAGTCGTCACGGAATATTTTTTCTTAAGCTCGAAACGTCTGGGTGGTTGGCTCCAAAAATTGCATAGAAAAATCGCGATTTTCTCACTAGCACCCTACACTTATGTACACGCTGAACGTAGGCAATAATTTTTGAGGCACAGGTGTGTCGCCGTCCGTTACAACTTTTTTTTTTTTTTTTTTTTTTTTTACGGTAACCACGACAAAACGGCTTTATGTACTATGCAACGAATGGATTTATTTCGACTACGCGTTCTCGTGGCCGAGTGTATTATCAAGCAGATGATATCACATCGAGGATCAAAAACCCTTGAGCTCCCCACCACCCTTTACCTATTTTTATTATCCCTGCAGCTCGTTTCCCGGATCTCATGTATATATGTACACCCCCATCGCGATTCACTACTGATTACCACATCTCACGCGTACAGTGTACCTACACGTACACGCGTGTGTCCGGAAACGGCCATTGTCTATAACCTGTACCACGCGCGTGCTTTTTTTTTTTGCTTTTTATTTCAACTATAGCTGGATTGTTTTTTCATTGACGCTCTCATTTTTTCTATTCGCGTTATGGAGATTGACGATTCGGCTACTTCTCAGCGATTGCTCCAGCAGCGCATACATATACCATGGGAGTATAGCTGATTCGGACAACGAGTTCTGATTTGATTAGTACCTAACACTCACGTACGGTTGGAAAAATATTTGTGCTCGATCATTCGGGGCAACGATAATGATGGTGATATTGCGCGTTTCGTGCGTGTATTGGTAAACGTAAATGACAAGTGTGACGGACAGGGTGTAGCCTCTCGTTGTGAGTAAAGAAAATTGCGCGCATGATAAATTCCAGCGGAGAAAATTAATCTATTATACACAAGTAGGGTAGAGATAGAGAGAGACTCTGAGAATATAATGTACATGTACCTATATAAAATTTGAATTATGGTGACAGTATAATTTTGTGATTTGTTGCCGCGTATATAATATATACCATGCGATGTCGTAAATACCAAATTTACTGTTTTCCAAACATCAGTTGCACGCAAGTTAACTTGGCTGTGTGGTTTTTTTTTTCCTACGTATAAAAAATAAGTACTCGCGGTAAATAATTTAACTCGAGGGAGGAGTACCCTGCAAACACCGCACGCAGATACGTGTGTGCACACCAAGATAATCTAAGCAAGTTTAATTGCTCGCACAGAGGGAGAGAGAGAGAGAGAGAGAAACCCGAGAAGATCGTGGCGTCGGATACAAAGTGGCAGGGGAATAATAGAAGCAACGCGTGAATGCAGCGAATTTTATACGTAATGTACACATGTACGCGAGACATGTGCTCATTTCACGGAGCACTGATTTTCCATTCACAATGTATACCTATTACCTCTCCGTTGGAATCACACGCGTATGAAATAGTATGTTTTTAGCAAAACGCTATTCGCGGAAATTACCGGATTCTGAAAGGATGAGGGGCTCGTCCCTTTGGTCGAGGGTGCGTTTTAATTTTCAAAGATTATTAGAGCTGATTTCTGAAAAGCAGCCATTACCATCACGCTTCGCGCGGACTAATGAGCCTTGCACTTCCTCTTCCCGTAAAACGCTTTGTTATTTCTGCAGGTATAGGTGGTACATTCATAAAACCTAATGCCTTATCAAAAGTACATGCCCATCGTACAAAGAAAAAAAAAATAAAGTATAGATGCATGCACCCGTATTAAAAAATAGGGAGACAATGAGAGAGTTGCATCGTTTTACCGCACTGCTCAGAAATCGCGTGTATTCAATAACTTTTCCGCGACACACACGTGAAACAACGCATGTAGGTATAACCTCTTGATAAAATTGTTCATTATACATGTAGCCCACGCGAATCACCATCATCTTCGTGCAAGGACAAACTGTGCGCTTGGTGACATTATATGTACGCCCTCGATTAATAGTGTCTACTGCGCGATGTGTGTATGCAATGTCACCTACTCTTGATACGGCACTCTGCTATTACTATGCGCATAATATAGAATAAAGCCGTAAAAAAGGAGAGCCAAGGCAACGAGAATACCTACTGTATATACCCACACGCGATAATCATATAACACGTAAGTGTACCTAAAGTAAAGGACGTAGCGGCGATTTTAGAATTTACATTCCGCGTGTTTAAGTGTATCAGCTTGGTTGATTTGACATTCGCGCGTTTCACGAGAGAGCCATTATTACGGGCAATTGGTCGTTGGCGTATAACAAGCGAGACGCGCAGCTTCGCACTCTCGCAAGACACGCTTGTCACTTACATGAATACACACTGCACATTGTCGTAGCGATAGCTAATGGTGATAAAGAGGATAAGTATATGTACACGGGTCGCGTGCCTCATCTTTTTTTTTTTTTTTTTTTTTTCTTTTTTTTGTGCGTTCACGTGTATGTACCTTTGATGCATGTCGATGACAGGCGAGCTTTCGTTCTCTTAAGCGAACGATAATGACTATTATGTACGACTGCCGCGCGTGCCGGTTCACGTAGCGGCACGCGATGATTTTTGGGTCGATCGCGTGCACTGGTTTTTCGAGATGCGCCGTAACAGGTTTGTGTACACTTGTTTCAGGCTTGCAAACGGAATATATATTATATAGATATAAAAAGAAAAAGAAAATTTTATCAATATAAGAATGAGCTCTAATTCGCTTTATTTTCCTTTTAATCGTACAGCGCGTCGTTGTTGGGGTGTATAACCGGTATACCGCGAGCCTTATTTTTCCCTTTTTCTTTCCAAAGCGCCACCAACCGGTGAAACGTGATTTCGTATATATACGCGCATAAATTCATAGAGTTTGCGCAACTCGGTTATTGGCATGAGGTATAATGTATACATGTAGGTATACGCGCCACTGTCGCTGAATTTTATTGGCAGGTCTAGGCCTTCGCGAGAAACGGGAAAATGTGTGCGTGTGTGTGTAATTTATGCGCCGGTAGCGATTTTCGTCGGTGCCTTTTTTTCCTTCCTCCTTTTCTTCTTCTTCTTCTTTCCTTTCCAAAGCGCGCGGCTGTGCAATTTTCGCGATAAATTATTATAGTTGTGCACGATTGCATCCAAGTCGATATTACGAGTCGCGCTCGATGGTTTTGCTTTGATTTCCCCTTCTTTTTCTCGGCAACATTGAATTTTACGGCTTCTCGGAGAGATTGCCGGTTTAACAATTCGTTATCTCTCGAGCGAGGAAGAAAAGGGATGGGGAACGAGTTGAGTGAGTTGCAGTGGAAA